TGAGAGTCATTCTATGATGGCAACAGTCTGCACAGAGCAACGGAAAGTAAACGATCAGTCCACGTGTGTCACTGTGGTCTGGAGGTTTGGTTATTCTAAGCTGTGTCCTTTCTAGGACCTGTCTCTGGTAGGTGGGGTTGGATCAGAGTCGCAGAAAATGAGGTATGAATAGAAGTGGGCATATCACTGAGCGCTGATGCAAGATGCACAGAGGCAGGTTGTAAATTATCATTTTGCGCAACAGCACCATCAATACAGGCTACTTATTTAGCTTTAATTAAGAAATGCATCAAAAAGAACACTAAGGCTAAATAAAAAAGATTCAGCTAACACGCCAAATTGAATGCTAAACCTTTCCTCAGAAAATGTTTAACTATTTTTTAAGCAAAGCATAGGGCAGCTATTGACTCCATACTGAAGCCAACTTTATTAGGGTGGCTAATTTATTCAGATTAAATCTTATGAAAAAACCTAAGTATAGTACTTAAAAGTAATTGTTGCTGTTTCCTGTCAAAACTGCAGGGGGAAAATTATGTGATGAATGTTTGAAGCATCCCAACACAGATTTTTTTTTTTTTTCAATATTCCAGCAGCAGTTAGACGTGTTGCAGGGTTAATATTTGCATGTCATTGAAATTGTCTGAAAGGTTTATTTGAAATATAAAAGTATGTACTCACAAGAAGAGAAGAATCCCCGTGTTAGCCATGGCATATGCCAATCCTAAGATGCCGCTGCCCATAATCGCATTGCCAAGGTTAAAGACTGACATGCCGAAGGAGGTCTTTCCTTCAAACTGGGAATGGATTTGACAAAACAGAACAAAATTTAAGAATTAAGCCTTAAACTATAATAAAACTTTCTAAATGTATTATGATTTGATTTGATAAAAACCTTCCTTATTACTGTATTTTATAGCTACAAAGTGCTCTCAGATCAGCCCTTAGCAAACAAAATTATTTTTATTTTTTTTTAAATGGAGTGGAAACTTTATGGGTGCTTTCATTAATTAAAATGCACTGTTAATCTCTTTTTAAACCCAATTTATTCTCAAAGGCAGAAGAAGATATTTCTAAATTAAAATGTTCAGGTTATGACAACAAACGTAAACAAACATTGTTTCTGTTTATAGATAAACTTACATCTGTAAAACGTGTGGGCTTCTTTCCATGTGTGCTGGGAAGAAACTCTTCACTCTCAAGCGCTCCTTCTGGGTCATCAAATCTATAAGCAAGAATTAGGCTCATTTGTAGTATTAGTCCACCTCTAACTTGTGAACACACACAAAAAGACTTGACCAGGGTCTAAGCAAACATACCTTAGATTTTCAGTGCCATTTCTGCACAAGGAACCATCAGGTGAGGTCAGCACAAAAACAAGGCAAACATGCAAAGTTAAAGAAATAGAAATTATGTAAAATATGTCATGCTTTATGTTTCTACCACATATTTTATCCTACTCATTACTGAGCATATTTTTTATTTATTTATTTATTTTTTTGTTATTTACAAATAGAAGGTTAGGATTGGTTCCCTTGATTTACTCTGGCCTGGTACCAAGGATGTGGTTTTCACATAAGTATAACCACAGAGGAACAAAAAGGTGCAAAGAAAGTGAAAGGTGCTTAAATCATGCTGGGTTAAAAAATAGCAGTCTTTTGTCTGTATGTGAGAAAAACGTAAGAAAACTCACTGATCCTCTGCTAACAACGTCTTCATTGGCACATTCATGTCATCTCCGAGGTCATGGGTTTTCCCGTTGGATAATATGTTCATCTCTGACTCAGCAGGCTCCATCTTTCCAGAAATATCCAGTTCTCTATCGCCTGTGTTTGTTCAATGGAGGAGGGCTTCAGATCTTGAATTTCTAAAAATATAAAGGTAGAAAAGTTTTAGGTGAGAGCATTTACTTGTGTATGATCAGGAACAACTATAATATGTTCACAGCAGGATAGACTTTAGTAAAAATAAAGATAAAGGGTATATATATATATACGACTCGCTCATCACCAGATAAATCAGCCTAGAAATCTTTAACAACTTATATTTGATCAGGAGACTTTGCTATCAATTCTCATACCGGTATCTTTGTTTGCAATTGTGTACTGAAGTGTCACCTGAGTTTAGCAAGTCAGTCCATTTTTCTGCAGCTTAATATTTTTTTATATATATATTTCTGTTCTATTGTTTGTTCTGCATGTTGTTCTACTAGCTGAAAGGCTGAAATATGTTTAAAATTCGAATAGTAATTACAGCAAACCTTTGTCAGTTTCCAAACACAGTTAAAAGTTGGTGTAAAATATTTTAATTGAACATAAAACCGAAAGAGAGTTTGCAACCAGAAGACACAAGGGACATTAAAAAAGGAATAATTCATTATTTCAGGCCCTGTTTCCATTGCAGAAATAGAATTGACCAATAATAGCATCAGAAAGCATGTTTTGGATACTTGGATAGGAGGTATCTCTACCACACATGTATCTGATTCATTAAGGGTTCATTGTGATACTTTAGCTATTTTTTGTGAACTGGGACATCAAAGCCAGACTGAGTCAATTCATCTGTTTGGTATCTGTCTGCGCAGCAAACAAACAGTGATCACTAACTTTTTACATAGTGACCCAACAGAGTAAAGGACCTGCCTCCTGTCTTTTGTAATTTGCATCTTTGTTAGAACATTTTGCAATACGTACGTAAGTAAAGCTTAAAGCTAGAAAGAGCCACCAGCCATGATAATATCCTAGAGAGCTTTTCAGAATTTCGTGCTTCAGTTTGGAGTAAAGCAAACAAGTCAAGGTTATCAGCACACAGTCAAAGGTTAAAGTCTGATTGAGTTTTTAGAAATGCGTTTATAGTTTCATTTAGATTTTCTGAGCTACTTCTGAAACCTAAAATGAATTCAAATGACAGAATAAAGTTGGAGAGGCCTTTAAAAAAATATATCGTCCTAAAGGATTTTATCTGAATATGTCCCAAAATGTCTTGAGAATCAACAAGATGCTATTGTGGTCATTATGCTCAGCAGTGGCTCTAGTCGTATATGAACATTTGCTTCGAGTAATGGATAATTTGCTGTATATTTATATCGATAAATTTGTAATTTCTAGTTTGTATAGGTATGGTGGTAGCCTAAATTCTTAACTCTGCTTATTCGACCTACTTTTGTAAACAGGACAAAGCTGTTGTCTCTTAAAAGATTAAATATTTGGAAAAATGCATTTTTATTGACTAAGGTTTTCACTTAATATCGCAATGTGTTCAATGATCTGAACCATTGAAGGGTCAAAAACAAAACAAAAGGTACAAATACCTTTTTTATTGGTATCTGTTGTTTATTGTGAAATACACTGAGGGGATTAATCAAATTAACAACTTTGACATGCTTTAAATTACGAAGAAAATATTCATTCTTAAAATTAATAAGCAACACATTTTATTCTCTTTATTGTATTTATTTTCTTTTTTTTCTTGCCAGAAGTCAAATCGGGGAAGAATTTCATAAAAGACCAGACAAAGGAAAAGATGTAATAAGCTGTACTAGTCAAAGACCAGGTTAAAATCCCTGAAAAAAAAAAAAAATACTTAAACTTAGTGCCGAGAAGGGAGACATCTATAATTTAGTTTTTATTTCACTTCTAATATCTTGAAATATCCTCTAATGGCTTCTGTGGCTCAAATTCATATTCACAGGTGTCGAATAGAATAGAATAGAATAGAATAGAATAGAATAGAATAGAATAGAATAGAATAGAATAGAATAGAATAGAAAATCCCTTTATTGTTTCACAATTGGGAAATTCTGGTGTTACAGCAGCAAAAAGATTATAAAAAAAAAGGTCACACAAATGTGGACCTTTGAAAAATGTATAAGAATAACATAATAGTGAAGAGTTAATTGATAAGCAATAAAAAACTGTACTGTAAAGTGTTTTAAGAATATAAACACTGTGTACCTGGAGAAATAAATAACCAATATACAACTAAGACTGCTCTTTTAAAGACACTAGTGGCTCATGTTTTTGACAGTAGGCTGACAGGAAAGGGGGTATGAGAGAGAGGGAGAAACATGCAGCAAAGGACCACAGGCCAGATTCGAACCTGGGTCAGCTGCGCACTAATCACTGTGCCACCTGTACGCCCAGCTACGGACTTTTTTAGAGTAATGAATATTTGAAAATGTGCAAAATTACAGCAGCATGTTATGTAATGGAGTAACAGACTAAGGTAGAAACTATGTAAAATCAGCATGAATGTAACAACTTTTTGAGCTTGTTGGGAACAATGGTGGTTATAGAGTCTTCCAGCTGCTTGGAGGAAGGATCTATGATAATGCTCCCTGTTGCATTTAGGGTGCAGCAGTCTCTTACTGACGGAGCCCTCCAGTTCTGCAACAGCTTCATGCATGTCAACTTAGATTGAAAATGGTGTTTTGTTAGCAGCTTCATCTGTGTTTAACATAGAAGGTTGTCCTCTCGCTTTAAGATTATTCTTGGTGCTATTATGGCCTATATGATTGTAGAAAGTTAAAGATACCATTCAACTGTA